TGCAGATGGCATGATATATCCTGTTTGGAATCAATTCATTTTGTTAAGTTTTCCAACGACAAAATAAATGAAATAGTCTTTTAATAATAAAAGTAAGTACGCAAAGTGTTTATACTTATAAAGCCAGAGGCACCATGTCCACAGTACTCAATGTTATACACACTCCTGACTTCATTCTCTACTTGTCTCTATTCTGTTCACTCCTCTCCAACTAATTCTCAGGACCAGACATAGTTCTATTAAATAGTTATTTATCTGTTGCTCCTGCAGTCAGAGCTTAGACCCAAAGACAGTGAGATAACTTAACTTCCTTTCCAATCAGAAGACATCTTTGTTTATCTTATTATTGTTTTGCCAAATAAATTAGAAACTTGCTTAATATAGTAACTTTTGTGTTTTGGTTTTGCTCAATGATGTATCTTCAGAACCTATGATAGGGTTTTGTAAATACCAGGTACTAAAAAATACAAATAAATAAAAACAATGATTGAATGAGTGATTCTTTAACTGTACACGATCTGAGTCATATGCCTGGTTTAAAACCTCAGTTTTCTCTTCTTACTGGCTACATTTTCTTGGTCAATCTCTTTAGATGTTCTATGTACCAGTTTATTTCTTAAAAAATGCAAGGTAGTATTTTAAGTTACAGTGTTACTAGCTAGCTGTGAAGAGGCCATGAAAAGTAATTATGAAATAAATCTTACCTAATTACTTCCTTTAGTTTCTAACAGCATTTCCCTCACATTCATTCTAATTCTTTATAACACTGCACAAGGTACAGTTGACCCTACACATTATTAAGTTCTGTACCTACAGATAGAAAATAGTTTGAAAAAAGAAAATCTATACTGAACATGTGCAGACCTTGTTAAAAACAAAAAAATTATTCCCTAAACAATATACTCCAGTAACTAATAACAAAGTTTTTTACATTGTAGTAACTCTTACAACTAAGTAATCTAAAGATGGTCCAAAGTATATGGGTTGATATACATAAGCACACATTACACCATTTTACAAAAGGGAATTGAACATTCAGACTTTTGCTACCACAGAGAGAAAGTATGTGTATGGAAAGAACTCTGGCAGGTGCCATTTTGGGGAAGAACACCTTTTATAAATGTGAGAACAGTATACCCTAAGTTTCTCCTTAAATTCTACTTTGGTCTATACTATGTTTTGTTTTTGCTATACTACTTAGCTCATATTTGCCAAGCTTATGCTCATCTCTCTTTTTTTTTTTGGATACTTTTGTATCAACTTATTTTAGTTTTGTCTCATACACTGTTATAACTAATGTGAAAGGCCAAGAGCAGTGGCTCATACCTGTAATCCCAGCACTCAGTAAACTGAGAAAAAGCTTATTCCAAGGGTGAAAACAATATGAGATCCATGGACAACTATGCCTCAAACACCACTAACAAGAAAATCAAAGGTGAGAATTGAGAATTCATTAATTCCAGTCTATGAAACTCCAGTAGGATTTATTCCCCAATAGTTGCCCTATCTTCTAACAGGCTGGATTCTGCAGCAAAGCTGTAGGACTAGAGTCATGTAAGCCTTTTGAAACCAAAGCGCCAAATACTGACATGGATTGTCTGATTCACTTTTTGGCCTGTTGGGTTTCAGTCTTGCTTTGTTCCATTCTTTCCTCATTATGTCCTTACCCTTCTCTAAAGCAATAGGAATGTTTACTCTGTGTAACTGTATACAAGATGTATATAATTTGTGGGTTTTGCTTTTTGTTTTAATTTTACAAGGGGTCACAGCTTAAGAGATTGACTTTAATCTCAGACTTCTGAACAATCTTGAGATTGTTAAAGACTACAGGGAAAGATAGAATATGGTAGTTTGAATGAGAAATATCCACTATAACCTCTTATCTGTATGCTTGGGTCCCAGGTTGGTGGATCTGTTTGGGAAGGTTTGGAACACTTAGGAGGTGAGGTTTTGATAGAACAAGGACGCCACTGGTGGTATGTTTTTTAGCTTGAGCCCACATCCTCTGGACAGATGAAAAATAATCTCTCTGCTTCCTGACTGGCAGGCTATCTGCACTATGATAAACTCTATCCCCTTAAATGTAAGCTAAAATAAATCCTGCTCTCCTCAAAGTTGCTTCAACAGGACGTTTTGTGGGTAAGGACTGGAAAGATACTAATGCAATGCCTCAGGGTACCAGAAGTGGTTTGACTACATACCAGTAAGGATAAAAAATAAAGTCATAAAAATTCTCAACTTATCCAAGGTTTTTTACATCCAGATAAATTATAAATTCAAAATATTATAAAAATGCATTTAATACTTCTAGCTACTAAAAGTAAAATTTAGCAAAACAATCCAATACACTACTTCCTGTTCACCCTCCTGACTGCCTAAAAGGGAGCTGCGGTTTGCTGTCTTAGCCCAGCCACTGGAGACTACTATAACACAATATTCTCTTGCCTAGACAGGATCACAACACAAGATTCTGAGAATGGTTTTAACTGACTGTACACTACTTTTAAGCCATCACACAGATTTAAAAGTGGCAACCATCGAAAGTGAAGAATACCTACTTTACTCATTTTCTTCTACTAGATTCTGATTTATCTTTTTCCTAGTTCATAGAATTTGACAGAAAATCCAAAATAGTGCTATAACATAGTATGATGAAAACATTTTCTTCTTTCCGCCCATCTAAACTTTTCACATTCCTCCAACCACAGACATGCATAATTCTACTGCCAAAAGAGTTGGCTTAGAAGAGTGTCAAAAACAATCTATAGGATTAAGGCTCACATAAAATGTATAGGAGCATTCAAGAAAGTTGAATTTTACTCAGAATCAGAGTAAAACCATTATGTGGGATAATTTCTCTCATAATAAATCTTAATCTATTCAGAAGTGGAGCTGGGGTATAATATAATAGCTAAAAACTTTTTTGCTTAAGTCAGCATGGAAGATGCCCTAGGTTCAAGCCCCAGTACCACAAGCAAGCAAGCAAATAAACAAAAAATCAGAAGAGGAACAAAGAAGTCTACAGTAAGGTGTACTGGCTGAAAGGCAGCAGCCATTTACACTAATCTGGATAACGTGTGAAGTAGCAGTCGTTCACATTACTTAGGAAATGTAGTGCTTGTTATTTCATTTTCTGCAAAGCAACCTTAAGTGCTTGAAAATTGTGGAATAATGCACTCTGTTTGTTTGACTTTACTAAAGACATAGGACAGCCTTGTCTGATATTTAGCCTGTGAAATTATATTCAAAAGGAAAGCATTAAAGCCTTGCTACAAACACTAAACCAGTTAGTGCCCAGACTCAGGATCGGCTTTCCTTAATCAAATTGTTATAGTTTTTGTGGCTTTAAAAATTCTACTAACATATCTAACTATATATTATAAAAAACACCCCAGTCAAATGTTTCAATAGCTATAAAGAGATACATGTCATTCTGTGAACCTTAATATAATAAAAAAAAGTATTATTACTATATTTTTTAAAAAGTTAATGTGCTACAAGAGTTTAGCAGTAGCACACTTGCCTAACTGACACACAGTACTGGATGCGATTTCATTAGTGTCAAAACAGAACAAAAAGGGTTTAACAAAACAGGTCAATCCAAGATTGCATAGAAAGATGATAACAGATGTACCAAGTAGTTTTAAAATTATGAAACAGGTAATTATCAAATACTCGGGAAGAAAATGAACCCCGAAAGCTCTATGTTCCGAGAGTTTTCATTTACGAAAGATAACTTTTCTACATAAATATATATAAGTCAGCACTAAAAACACTTTATTTATGTTTTTAAAAACACTTTCTCTACAAATACTAGATCTAAATAGCATACTATTAATGCTCACTTCCTGAATTTTACAATTATATTATGATTACAAAAGACAGCATCTTTGTTTTCAAAGAAACATGCACCGAATAATCATAGGTAATATGTGTCTATACCTTAACCCAGGAAGGAAAAACTACAAAATATATGTGAAATAAAATTAAATACTTTAGAAAGAAAGAACAGCATATATAGATAAAAAGAAAATACCTGAGAATGTGGTAAGATTTTTAGTGTTTGGAAAACTATTTAAATTACATAAAGGAGTTTCTTTTAGTAGTCTTTCTACTTTTCCCTGAATCTGAAATTATTTGAATATATAGTTTTTTTAAAAAAAATACTTAGCAGAACTTAAAAACTAAGGATAGCAATTATCAACCCTCCCAGTCAAAGACGGAAAGAATAAAAGTTAAAAGAATCATATAATTAATTGGTAAAGGTGAGGCTACTGTTTATTTTATTCAAGCCTCTAGTCTATATAAGAAATGCTTAATGTTTTAATATAATGCTCTACAATGAATCAATAATTCTACCTTTCCTATCCCTGAGACAAACAATGCCTGACATTTTCTTCTTCTGTGTGACATTAACCCCACAACATTAAAAACACCTCTTAAAAATTCCTACAATTGACAAGCAAATAAGGAAGTGATTCTGTTTTTTGTTTGTTTGTTTTTTGTTTTTCAAGACAGGGTTTCTCTGTGGCTTTGGAGCCTAACCTGGAACTAGCTCTTATAGACCAGGCTGGCCTCGAACTCACAGAGATCAGCCTTCCTCTGCCTTCCGAGTGCTGGGATTAAAGGCGTGTGCCACCACCGCCCAGCAGTGATTCTGTTATATATCAAAAAAGAAAAGAAAAAGAAAATCCTAGCCTGTCGGTGGTGGTGCATGCCTTTAATCCTAGCACTCGGGAGGCAGAAGCAGGCTGATCTCTGTAAGTTCGAGGCCAGCCTGTTCAACAAGAGCTAGTTTCCAGGACAGGCTCCAAAGCTACAGAGAATCCCTGTCTCAAAAACAGAAAAAAAAAAAAAAAGTCTTAACTAAAAGGGGTATGTCATTATCCAAGAATATTTTTGTAACCTAACCTATTATTTTACAAAAAAATACAATGTATTACTTTACAATTTTACCATTCATAGCACCACCAAAACATACTGTCAAATGTATAACTTACCTGAGAAGTCCCACTGAAACCTGAAGGTTGGCTGTATTCTGTAGAATCAATAATACTACTGCAAAAGGAAGAAGGAACAATATAACTTCAGTATTTACATTATTTTAGTAACAGGAAAAGTTGATCTAAAATGTATCATTTATAAACTCATTTATTTATAATTTTAAATAAACATCTATTGCCAATCATTTAATTAATGGTAACTAAAAGCCAATTATGAATAATATGTTTTAATAAGTTGAGAAAAATACAATGGTGACTCCTAATGTTTCTGCTGGTGAGTACGAGAAAATTAAATAAAAATATAAATAAAAACAATGGGGGCCTGGGAGTGAAACTCAGCAGTACAGTAGCCGTTGACTAGCAAAACATGTGTGGAACTAGATTCAGTCCTAGGAATCAAGGTATGTGGAGGAAAAAGTAAAAATACATTCAGTTAAATAGTAACTAGCAGCCACAGAACTATCATAACAATCTGTTTCAAAAAGCAAGACTTTTTTCCAATATACAATTTTATAATAATAAGCAGCTAAAATGAAACATTTCATTTCTGTTAAACATAATAGATATACTAATTTTATATAGAATATTAGCTAGCTAAACTATAGAATTGTTAAATTCAAAAGGTTGAAATATAAGGAAACACTGGATTTTAAAATAAACAATGGGAACAAATCAAAACATGGCAAGAATGAATGTAAATTTAGACCACTACCAATAATACATGTGTGTGTTAATTATGATAAAGAAATACAGTTTTGTTCTTAATAAATCTTAGGGAGCTATAAAAAACTTCATGATATGATAATTGAACCATTTCCTTGTAACAAATTGACATAAATATTTTAAATACTTTTAATATCAAATAGTAAATCTCATTTACTGACAGCAAAATTCTCACAGACTGAAATTAGCAGACACCTCCAAAGATAATAAAACTATTTTCATATTCATTTATTTTCATCATTTTACAAACTTTTGGATATTAAAATTTAATACAAGCAGCAAACAAATGACTCCAAATAATGGAACTACACTGTCAACTGCAGCAACAGCAGCAACTAACATCTACTGTGCCCTATGTCTAGACATTACTCTCCTCACTCCAGTGTGCTATCACAGCCCATCAGTGGACTTAGTATTATCCTATCTATAAAATGAATAAGGCATACACACTTAACTTGCTAATGGGTACTTTACAGAAACAAAATGTGAATCTAAAGCACATTTCTAAAATAGATACACTAAAATTGCCAAAATGATCTGTCTTTGGAAAAGTCACTGCTTGGTCATTTTGAATACAAAGTTTCTCCTAACTTCTTACTGTTTTAAACAGCTCTTGGTATGGTTTGCACAGTCCTTTTTATAGTCTTTGAAGTAAGAATACCTGAATTAGGATGTCAGCTGCATACTAACTGTGATGCTGGGAAGAAAACTTCCTGTTCATGTTGACTATATTTTTAAACTATAAAATGGATTAAATGAAATAATCCATGAAAATTATAAAATGTTGCCCAATATATGGCTGTAATAGTCTGATAGTTCCAACTTTTGAATATATAGCTCTTCTCTATTGCAAGACAGACCTCCCGATTTTAACACAAAATTACATTTTAGAATATTATAAAATCATTTCTTTAGCACCTTCCTGTTCTCTTTTAATTTACACATGATAAAAAACCATTCTAGTTTTATAATGCATACCCTAAGCAGGGAACCTAATATTTATACTTCCTTTTAAAGCATCTGTTATTCCACAATAATTCTGAAGCTGAAAAAGAAAAGCAACAATTTTAAAGATTTATTTTTAGATTTGCAGAACAGTTTCCTTCAGGTGAAACTCACTGCTGGTAGGTGTGAATGGAGGCATGATGAAAATTTCCTGACAGGTGAAACAGGTTTCAGGCTAGCACTTTCCCTCCTTTTGAAGTAAAGGATACATTCACAGGAATGGGGTGACAATCTACTTCCATCAGAACTCATAAAAGGTGCTGGACTTAGCTATTTTATAACTATAGCCATTTTCCAATGAGATGGAGATTTCTGTTTATTTGTAATTCACAGAAGACAATTTTATTAGATGATATGCTTGCTATAAACTTTTAGGGTTATAAAAATTGATTATAAGGAATTAGAAGAATTCCCAAATAATAAGGAAAGACTCAAAGATAGGGTGATTATGAGGATGAAGAAAATGATGGTAGTTGAGTAAGAAAGAGACAACACAATGGAAATACAGAGTAGAAACAGCATGAGAAGTTTCTTTCATAAGTCAGTTTTATCATTTGTGGCTTTGCTTTCCTAGACACACCCATTCCTATCTTACCAGGATCAGGATCTTCACTAATCACAGAGGGAAAGTACCCTGTATGGCTCGAATCTGAAAAGGCAAGAAGCTTTCAAAATCTGATCTGATCAGGGACAGAAGCTATAGGGTTCCATTCTGAGTTAACAAACACTAGTTTGTGTCTTCTAAAGAGACTTTTGTAGTTCTCTACAGCCTAGAAACTTGAGATTTGAAACACTTACAAGATATAATACACTATAAAATAATATGCAGCTTCATCAGTAAAAGAGATTTCTGGTGTTATCAAGGTATTGACTAAAATATATTCTTAATTGAATGCTTAAAGAATGTACTACATTGTTAAGATCATCTTAGTATACTCATTTATTAACATAAAAAGCTTAAAATTATACCATTCACAAAATGAGGGTTTTTTTACCCTGTTAGGATAAGTTTCAAAAATAATATTATACCTGTATACGTAAAAAAATTTGTGACTGAGTAACAAAAGATTTAATATATTAAAATATCAAAAACGTTTTTGCAGCATTAATTCCAAGTAGGATGGCATACCTCCTGACGTCATTGGGTAGAATTCAGAAAGGATAGTGCTCTCAGGTTTTTAACATTTCATTTAGGATCACTATGCTTGATTTAGAAAAGAACAAGATTTATATTTCTGTACATGTGAACATGTGGATAGATTTAAGTGTCCTGCTTTGATACTAACTTTGAGGGTCATTTAACTTCTCCTGATATCTTGGTAAAGGTGGTCAGAAACAAAATCATTTGAATATATTTGATTTTGTCATAATAGCATTTATAAAGTGCTAGCAGTAGGGAAAGAGCATTCATTTTCTTGTGTTTGTATTTTTGTATTCATTTACCTTAAGAATAAAACAGTGCTTTAGCAGTACTGACTAGCAATTTTAATGCAGGTGGTAAACTTAATTTTACCTAAGCATGAAATGAAATAGAAGGAAGAGTTTGCTTTCTGGTCTTTGAGTACTCAGTAGGTAGTCACAGAAACTCACAGATAAGTACAAGAATCTCGTGGAGAAACAGCAGGTCCCTGTTTATGTTCTTTCCCTTTGTGTGAGTGTACAGTATTAAGCTGCCTAGAAGAGAGGAAGTGTTGTTCTTCTCTTATAGATGCTTTATTTATGTGACTGCACCAATCAAATAGTACAGGCAACCTTAGCATCTGTTTGTGTTAATGCAAAAAAAAAAAATCATAGGCAGCTATTGAATTTTCTCTGAAGGTATTTTTGAGAATGCATCTATGTCTGTTCTACCTTGTTAATGGGGGATAACAGCATATCCTGGATCATATGCAAACTGTAGGGTCTTCTCTTAATTGGCCCATGGTATTCTGGCATCACTCTCATTTTCAAGGCTGGGTAGAGACAGGGTTTCTTCACAGAACATCATTGACCCTATGGTGGCTTGTATAAAAATGGTCCTTATTAGTTCATATATTTGCATGCTTTGTGACCAGAAAGTAGAACTCTTTGATAGGATTGCGGACTGGGAGGGACGGCCTTATTAGAGACACTGTGTCACTGGGGTGGGTTTTGAGCTTTGAAAAAGCACATGCCAGGCCCAGTCCGTCTGTGTCTCTGTATTTCGCTCTTTCTGACAGACTGTGGGTAAGATTATAGCTCTCAGTGACTTCACCAGCACTGTCTGCCTGCTGCCATGCTACCTGTCATGATGATTATGGACTGAGCCTCTTAAACTATAAGCCAACTCCAATTAAATGCTTTTCCTTATATAGTTGCCATGGTTATAGTGTCTCCTCACAGCAATAGAAAACACTCACTAAGACTGGTCCCTTCTTTCTATCTCCTAACACAATGTAGAACTTCTTGTTCAGGAGCAACTTCCATAGCTCAGCTAGCCCTTGTTCTCCATCAGTGAACAAGTATTCTAAATTTGCCCATAATCACTGTTTCCCAAAGCAAATCTAGTTTCTATCTACCCACCCATCAGAACTTGATTCACAGTAATTAAGCTTTGTATTATCAGAGATGCTGAGTCCATCAGGAGACTAGATTTAGGCTATGTATGGTATAAGGACATCAGTAGAAGAACCCTACACTACATTATATTTAAAACATTAATCCTAATTAACCTTAACTTCTTATGCTTACAAGACTCAGAAAAATTGAAAAATACAAAGACTCTGCCAGGTTCTTGAACTATTAGGCAGGACTAAAGGATATTAAATCACAATTAAATCACATTCACAATATAAGCCAAGAGTGGTTATGTTTTAGAGAATACAAACTCCCCAAGAACGAAAAACAATAACAAAACAAATCAATATGTAGGGTTGAATCTGAAGGCATTCCAAAACCATGTCTAACATTCCAGTTTTATCATGTTTGCTTAAATAGCAAAGATCAATATTCAAATCTAAAGGAATTTGTAACCAGAAACCTAAAATTATAAAGTAAACCTACTATAATAGAGTTTAAAAGAAAAGACAAAAGCCCTATGTAGTGGTACAAGCCTATAATTCCAGCACTCAGAAAGCTAAGATAGGAGACTTGCTGGGTAGAAACAAGGTCTACCTAGATTATCAGCTACCTAAGACTACATGGTAAAAGAATCTAAAGAAGCAAAGAAGGAAGTGGTCAACAAGCAACCATCACAGCTGTCTCTGTAGAAGCAGATGTTAGAAAGCAAACTTCAGAGAGCTACTTAAAATAAACATCTAGGCAAGGTACCTTCAAAACAGTCATGATGTTTACATTAAAACGATGACAGTGCACAAAGGAAAAGAATGCAGACTTTAACAGTCTGGATGTTTATAAAGTAACTGCTTGTATTAGAATCTTAAAATGGTTTAAAATTAGAAAGAAATGTAAGAAATTAAAACTGGGTTAATTGTGTAATTATTTCGTCCTTATAATTATCACCCTTGTATACTGCTCTTAAAATGTGGTGTCACCTGCCAGATACATAGATATTTGGTAGACATTTCTCATACTGTGTTCAAGAAGTGATTGATGTTGATTTGTGTTGAATTTTAAGTGCATGTAATAAATGATAGTATTTTCTATAGTAAAAAAAATCAAATAATATATAACTTTATATATAATTCCTGCTGTAATGAAGCATATAGATGGTAAGATTTTAATAATTTGTAAAAAGGAGTTTGTTTTAATTATTTTTGTTTTGTGAAACACTTTGTTTTTTGTAACTTAGGTTGGACTTGAACTAGTTATGAAACCAAGGATGATTTTGAACTAATTCTCAAGCTTCCACCTCTCAAGATAACAAGAATAAGAATACAAGGACAGGCATGGTAATATGTGTCCAAGGTCCCAGCTCTTTTGAATGCTGAGATGAAAGGATTGTGAGTCTAAAACTAGTCCAGGCAACCTAACAAGACTCAGCCTCTACTATCCACCAATACACCCACACCACCAAAAAAAAAAAAAAGGAAGAGAAGAGAGTAGGTAAGGTGCAGAGGTACACACCTTGTAATCCTAGCACTATGGCACTTGGGAAGCAAGTTCAGTTATAGTGGAAAGATTCTGAGTTTTTTTTTGTTGTTGTTGTTTTTAATTTATTTATTTATTATGTATACAACATTCTGTGTATACATAATGCCTGCAGGCCAGAAGAGGGCACCAGATCTCATTACAGATGGTTGTGAGCCACCATGTGGTTACTGGGAATTGAACTCAGGACCTTGGGAAGAGCAGGCAACACTCTTAACCGCTGAGCCATCTCTCCAGTCCCAAGATTCTGAGTTTGAAGCCAACCCAGGATAGAAAATGAGAATCATAATAAAAGACTCAGGAAGACTGAAACTAACACATCTTTCTAATGCCCACCCTCATTTAAAAACTGGGCAGAGTAACCAATGCCCCAAAATACAGTGAGTTGGGGAAAAAAAGATTTAAAATTTTATTTCATTATTATCATTTTAAGACAGGTCTTACTTTGCATCCCTAGCTAGCTTGAAACTTGCTACGTAGTTCAGCCTGGCTTCAAACTCAAGAGATCTTCCTGCCTTTGCCTCCTGGGTATTGGGATTTAAAGACATGTGCCAGAACCAAGGCTTTTTATTCATTTCCACTAATATTACCAATTTATGTTTCTAAATTTTGACTTAAGATATAATATCTACAAGACATCAAAAAAATTCACCAAACTTTTTATCCATCTCAAAATTTAAAATACTGTAACATCTACCCACTAACTTAATCCAAAGGATCATTGGCTATCTGTGTTTCATTTCTCAATGGTTTTATCATCTGCATTTAAAAGGCTCCTGAGAACTAGAGTACCATGAACACATAATACAAAATCCCAAACAATTACAAGTGTGAAGCTTTGTACCTGTGTGATGGAGAAGGAGCTTCAAATTGGGGCACTGTGCTATCTTCACTGACAGGAGAGTACAAGCCACTCATTTCCTGAAATTGTAATTATTTGAGTTATCATATACACTCCAAACAGAAAATGTATATTTCAAAAAAGCATATGGCATTATATTCTGTTCTAGCCCCAGGTTCTCATGAGTCCCTTTCTGTCTTCAAAAACAAACTTGTCAAAGATTCCTTTCCATTAAGTACAAAAGCAAAGTTAATCTGAAATTAAGAAGGAAGCTATTCCTGGTGTTAAAGGACTATAAATCCCATTAAGTACTCTTCTAACTAATGAAAGCACTGAATGCAGAAAAACTCAAAAGGAAATATACCAGAGAGGACATACAGCACATTCTATACACAGTGAACTGACTACTCATGCAGGTGATGATCTATTAATGTATATTAGGATAAATAAGATGGGATAGTGACTAGATTACAGCATTCAAATCTTCAAAGTGAATGACAGAAACTGTCTAAAAGTAATCTACAAATAAGAGTAACACTTCTTGAATTAATTACTGACTTTAATAAGAACATAAATTATAATTTTTGCTCATTAACCCAAAGAAAAGAGGCTGATCAGAGATGATCACATAAATTACATGGCTGAATATTATTGATTAGCTTCCCTTTTTACTTATGTGCAATATTTTGTTTCATTGAAAAACAGAAAATTTGAAAATTTAAACTGTAGGCACATAAAAAGGTAAAATTATTTTTGGCTTAGCTCAAAAATAGCCAAACAGGTAATATAAACATAAGGGATACTGAGTTCCCATTGAATACTATAATACTCATTATCCTTTGACATGCTTTATAAGTCAGGAAAAGGAAGTCATGTGTGTAAATAAGTAAAGTGCACACTAATTTAAATGTAGCCAAATGTAGACCTCAACTCACAATAGCCTATGAATATTCCAACAAATTTCTAGAAGTAATCTGTATTTTATTATAAACCCCAACAATATTGACAATGTATCCAATAAAAAATAAGTAGTAAAAATGTAAAATTATTTTTTAAAATTACTTAATAAAAGAATGAAATGATAAGTCATTTTTAGAAAATAATGAAGGATTAGTAGAAAATTATTTAGACTGCAAATAGAAAATTGAATAAATTTTGTTCCATTTAATCAAGAATCATAGCAATAAATGTCAATATAAACTTAAGATTACAAATTATCTTCAAAAAAGTATTCAGACTTTGTCCCCCTGCACCACCAGCTGAACTGTCAATTAAGATGAAGGTAAAACTATGAAAAATGTGAGAATTTCTCGATTTCTTACTTCCACTCTTTTAATATCCTCTTCCAAAACACTTAGTTCCTTCTGGATCTGTTCCAATTGCTGTAGATTAAAGAAATGGAGAAAAAAATTCTAATCTAAACCACAATTTCAGCATCAGGAGAAAAAAAATTAGATTTGGACAAAAGAAAAAAGGATACCAAACTGACAACTAAAAGTAAAAATAAGGAGACTGAAATAAAATAAAATCAGAAGTAAATCTGAATGTCACCATTCAAATAAAGACACTTGTTTATATGGAAACACAATACTATGTTTATTTACAATAACAATTACTGATTTTTACAATAAAAATGTAAAAATGAACAATAACAAAATTACTTAAAAATACAAGATATATAAAATCTTTCACATTTCCTCATTTAGTTGACTGCTTTTTTAAGGTACATGTTGTAACCCACTTTATTAGTATGATAGTGGTTCAACCAACCTCAAAGCAACTATAAACTAAGCATTTAAATAAAAACATTTAAGTATTTGGCTTTTTATATTGTTCCCATTACATTATAACCATTTGCATGTATATTGAAACATTTTTTTCTTACCAAAGATTTAAGATGTTTGCAACTATCATAAATCTAGAACATACAAGTGTCTCAAATACAATCATTTTTATCATATTAAAAATTTATTTTAGATTTTATTGAGAGATGATTAATTAACAGAAATAGCTAAAAATTTTCATTATACACTAAGCTTGTAGCACAGGTAATAAAAACCCAGAGAGAAATATTAGGTTTCATCCTAAGATCAGAAAAGCAAAACAGCCAACCTCTAGAAAAACCTTTTACCTCTACCAAATCTTTAGACCGAAAGGGCGAAATTCTGTCTCCATGAATCCCCACAATGCACACTTCACTCAATTCCTGTCTCCTGTCTCCACCTCCCCACAGTTGGGATTAAAGGCATGTGATCTCAAGAGCTGAGCTCACACAAATGTTTCTCTTTTAGACAAATTCGATCTTGTGTAGCCCACGGTGGCCTTGAACTATTAGAGACCCTCCTGAGCCATACCACACCCCAGTCCTGGGATTAAAGGCTTGTGCCACCACTCCCTGGCCTGTATGGCTGACTAGTAGGGCTTCTTTGCTCTTTGATCTTCAGACAAGCTCTATTTAGTAAAACACAAATAATATACCACTATATAAGCTGCTTTCCAGAAATTCTATACTACCCTAAGTAAGCATAACTAGGTGTTTTACTTTAACACAAATATACTGAACCATTTAAAACTATCAAACTGTAACAAATAATTGCATAATACTGATTGCCAGATTTGAAGCAGATACTACATGTATTAGGAAAATGAGGCATAGAAAGGCTAGGTAATTTGTTGAAGACCGTTCAGTGGTGAGCGAAGAACTGAAATTAGAATCAAAGCAGCCTTCTTATTGTAGGAAGCAAGCTGTCAACCATAGCAACACTGTCTCAAGACAACAGCACCTTATAGCTTACGCCTTAATGCCAATACGAGAACATTTTTAAAGGTCTCTTAGTATGAGTAGTGTCTACTGCTGCAAATAAGCACACTGAGTGCTGTCTAATTGGTGAATTTATTGATATAAATGTTTGTCACAGCATTCTGCTCAGCATGGAAAACAGTACAATGGAGGTAATGTTCAAAACAGAATCTAAGTGAAATTAGATCTTAAATCAAAGATGGAGCCCTAAAAGACTTACAGAATTTAACAACAGGTAAAGTCAAAATAAAAAGAGTAAATAATAAGAAACGCTAAGGCTATGAAGAAAGGAAATAATAAAAGGAGTCCATAGTAATGAATATATTTGTCTACCATCAATCTAATCAAAAAAGATGAATCAAGTACTGGACAGTAGAGAAAGCTAACATTAAAGAAGCAGGCAAAGGAATATACACATTAAGTGGAAAGAGAAGAAAGCCAAATTTAGTCACCAACCCAAGGGAGAAGATATATTCATCAGAGAAATCAATGGTTACAAAACAGTGATTAGTACTATCAAATGTTTTCAATTAAACATTGCATCTACTTTAAGAAAACCTTGCTCATTCATAAAAAGCATAACACAAGCATTTCTACCTTAACTAAAACAACTTGGTAGTCTTTCAAATAAAGGCTGGTCAAGTGGTCAGTTTTTAATGCCTCAAATTCACAGCGTACACACAAACCCACAACTTCCTCTACATTTGTTCCACTGCTATTTCCAACAATCTGTTTTCCATTCTGATATAAAAAGTACTCTAGCCTAGCTCACATTAAAGCCATGCAGTTAAATGGCTCTCAACCTATTTTACAATCTATAAACAACCTAGTTATTCATCACCATTGCTGAAGTCTTTTGTTTCACAGATACTTAAAATTCCAATAGCTTTGGCCAAGAAAGTACTTTTAAGGTCGCCTCTTAATATTTTAATTCAGCTATTTTAAAAAATAGCATTCCTAAATATCTTTATGAAAAAAGTATTTTATTCTGAGGGCTATTAAAAAGAATGCTAGAAACAGTTGATATAAAAAACCTGTATCATCAACATAGATAATCCAGATCACATTTGATCATTAATATAGCCAGAAAAAATTAGTAATTTTTCTAATATATGAAAACTTGAAATATGAGAGAAAATTCTGATGTCACCTGAAATGACACAACAGTCAATTCTTAGTTCTGTCTCATCTTTCTAGAGTACCAACATATCTATTTTAATACATAGGAGCTGCCGTAGTTTTAAGATGAATTATAAAAAATGGCTAATATCAAATAATCTATACTTTTAAAACCAAGATTTCAGCGCTAGAGAGCTAAAGTACTTGCTGTTCTTCAGAGCACCTGGGTTTGATTCCTAGCACCTACATAGCTCACAACCATGTGTTAACTTCAGATCCAGCGATCCCCTGCCCTCTTCTCGCCTCCACAGGCACCAGCATGTGTGTGATATACAAACATACAAGCAGTCAAAACATCTATGCACATAAAATGAAATAAAATTATTTTAAAATAAATCACTGTGCATGGTGGCACATGCCTTTAATCCCAGCAGTTGGGAAGCAGCCACAGGGAGATCTCTGTGAGTTCAAGGCCAACGGGTCTACAGAGGGAGTTCCAGGACAGCCAGGGCTGTTACACAGAGAAACGTTGTGCAACCTTGTCCAAAATAAAACAAACAAACAAACAAAAATCAAGACTTTCATATGGATCTTAAATGAAACAAATAACCAAGGTAAAAGTGCTATCCTAATAAATATAAAAATGGTGTTAAAAGTTATTTTGGATGTCAGGCAAGAAATTAAAATGGAAAAGAAGTCTGAAGAAAAGAAACTGCTTAGAAATTACATATTAGATGCAAGGCATTTCCAACTCAAGATATCGACACAGGATATTTTAGTACTAATACATGGAAGACAAAGAATAAATATCTGAGAGAACAGTGCTAAATTTAACCTCTAGGCATGATAAACCCAAAATGCAGACTGTCTTAGTTTGTTTTGGAAATAAGTAGTCCATGAAGGTGACTGCTATCATTTAAATGAAATTTTGTCACAACTTGAGAGTGATGAATTCAATCAAATTTAACTTAATAAAAATGTTGAATTTAGAGCTACTAAAATAAATACAGTAAATAACAGTGCTGATTCAGAACATGTTCCTAAGACATCAGTAGCAAGCACTTTCTAAACAGTGTTTAAAAAAAACTAATCAACGAAGAAATACTTAAACATTTAAAAAGGAAAAAAAAGTGTCTCAGAAGTGTTCTAAAAATACTTTGAAATTGAGGACTACCCTATTACTGACAATAGTTTTAGAACAGGCAGTAATCTTTTGTACTTCTTTGAGCTTTTACTAATTGTTTGATAAAGTGAATATATGTGAATATTGAGCTCACTTGTGAATTCAATTGTGTAGCAATATTACTTAGAATAAATTATACAACACAATCTAAAATAAACAAAGGAATATGCCATTAGAGAAAAGGCTGGTAATCAAAAGAAAATAGCAAAGCTCAGTGTATACTAATTCTAAACAGGAAACTACTAAGAGCAAAACATTTAATCAAAGTATAAAGTCAAAACTCTTATTGTTCCATTTAATAATACAGATACATACTTAATTTAATATTTAGTGGCAGACTTAATATTAATACTTCATTTAGCACTCCCACAGCATTTTATCTTTAGCCAAGAAACAAATGAAACAAAAAGTAAGTAATTGAACAAACTAGGGAAAACATGAAGGTATAGTTTAAAAAATGTAAATGGTGGGCTCACATGTCAACCCACATACTGGTTTGTACATGCATACTCAAAAAGACACAAATTATTATAAATAATTACTATAAATTAGCAACAACTGGGGGGTCTACAAAATAGAGATGTACTAAAAACAAACAAGTAAGCAAGCAAACAAACATTCAAATGGCTGAGTACATGCCTATAATCCCAGCACATGGAAGACAGAAACAGTATGTAGTTCAGGCTGGCCTACTACATACAGCTTAAACTACAACCCCTCCCTCCAAAAAAAGAGAAATCAGAAAATCAGAAGAGAAATTTTGAAAAATTACTCAAGAAATCAAATGGAGAAAAATATTCTAACAGAACAATGAGATAGTTCAGTGGGGAAAAAAAACGCCTGGAAAGCTGATCCAAAAGTGGAAGGAGAGAACACACTATTAGAGGTTGTCCTCTGACCCTCATACGCATGAAAGTACTCATGTGATACCCTCCTACACACATATCTGTAACAGGAAGTAATGTTTTTTAAAATATAATAAAATTTTTTAAAAAAGAATAAGCACAAAACAAAAAAGCAACAAACCTAATTGGTGTCTAAACACAAAAAGAAAAACTGTAGATTAGTTGGCAAATGCATGCCTCAAAAACACAAGGACCTTTGCTTTTAATCCCTAGAATTTATGGCCCATGATTATAATCCCAGAACTGGGGAAGCTGAGGCAGCCTGGCCAGTCAGATTAGTCCAGCTGGCGGGTTCTAAGTCAGTGTGGTTGTCGTCTGGCTTCCAGACACATGTACAAATATGAACCTGCATGCACACAAAAGCATATTGCAACT